ATGTGTAATAATGTAAATTTGAAGAATCATTGCATAGATAAATGAATAATAATAAAAAAGAAAAATACAAAATTTGTTACTTTTGTAACTACAACGTTCATTCACGCTATGTTTCTTTAAACTTACAAATATACGTCCATCTTTCTTTTTCATCGACTTCATTTATTGATGATAAGAAAGATCTAAAAAGATAACAACACATTCCGAACGTTTTATCTTGTTTCTTCCTAATTTATTTAAGTTTTGATTGAATTCTGATGATAATACGTGAACGCGGTAGTTTAAAATAAATATTTAAAAAATTCGAGTTCGGGTGTTAGAAAATGGAGGCGTCTTGCGTGTATGCCATTTTTAATCGAACAGCAGTAGTTGAAAATATTCAAAATAAGGAATAACAAGAGAGAAAGTGAGACAAAATGTGTGAGTGAATGAGACAGAGAGAGGGTATCAATATAAGAGAGAAATAGATAAAGATAGAAATAGATTTATTAAATAAACGGTTTTATTATAATAAAACAAATATAATAATCTAAGGACAAAACCCAAGAGTATTTGGCTTAGTATGGCTGTGTTTAGGACGGTGTTGTATAAATCTGAAAGTGGTGTACCTTTTTGTGCTAGTAAGCTGTGTTAAGAAAGAAAGAAAAAAAAAGAAAGAAAGAAAAAAAGAAAGAAAAGAAAATGCGGACATTCGAAAATTGCGCGTGCCAATATAATTAAAAAATAAAGCATTGTACACGAAAAAAATTTATAACGATCAGAGAATCTTTTTGATCACGTCTGATATTTTGTGTGTTTTAGATTAAGAAAATTTGCTAATTACATTTGTTTCTCTTCTTTCTTTTTTGAAAATAATTTTTTTTCTAAACACTTGAGTTTCCTTCTCGAAGAGAAGTTAATTTTCTCATGAAACAATTCTAATCGAGTTTCTTTTTTTTACGAGTATGGCATACTCAATAAATGCTATCAATTTTCTTTAAATAAATAACGTAAAAACGCGTAAATGTTAATATAAATAATTATTATTTTTTTAATTAATTATATAATTAATAATGTAGACTCGAAAAAGCCCGTGTTGGCACGCGGAGCATTCGTAGCAATTTACTATTTGTAACGAGAGGCGGATGATACGACGCTATATATAGATATATATTATATAATTTGTTTTCTTTTTTTATATCATTTGGAAAAAAGGAGTTACGGTTTAATATAAATCGCGATAACTATATGCCTAAGTAACTTTATGAGTTATTATTAAAAAATTGTTCAATAGACAAATC